GGGACTTATGATTCGCCCTTCAAATCCAGAACTTCCCAATGCCAATATAGTTTTTCCACATTCTGAGAAAAGAGAGAAATGTTCCTGTTTATTATTATACAGTTGGAAAATCAAGAATCAGTCAAAAAAGAAGAGACATTTTTACACTACTTTTTTAAAATTGTTGATCTGATTCTCTACTGTTTTACATAAATTTCAGCATGACAAAGAATGGATATAATAAAAATAGGAAAAAGTAGGAGAATTGAGACAGCAACAAACGACACTTAGTTGTTCGACAAGGATAAAGAGAAATTGAATGCAGTACGGTATCTTAAATAAATGCTGTTGAAAACTAAGAACTGCCTTTACCTGGTTTATGAAAAAGCATGAAAGACATAACTATCATAGTTTTGTAACCATGATAAAAAGATCTCTTAAGCTGCTAAATACCTACTCCAGACTTTTTTTTTAAAGGAAGTGATTGTTACTAAAGGAAATAAAGAAATTACAAGACTTATAGAGGAGTCATTGACTAAGGCCTGTCTGAGGAATTCTGGGAGTTGAGTCCACAAGTCATAAAAGGGCCATGATTGAAGACCCTTGGACTAAGGCAGGGGTAGGCAACCTTGGCTCTTTTATGACTTGTGGACTTCAACTTCCAGAATTCCTGAGCCAGCCATGCTGAGGGGAAAGGAAGAGGTTGCCAAGCTGAGCCATGCTTGGTCAGGAATTCTGGGAGTTGAAGTCCACGAGTCATAAAAGAGCCAAGGTTGCCCACCCCTGGACTAAGGTAATAGAAAAAAGCTATCTGACTTCCTGTGCTAAGTTGGAAAGTCACCATTGCTAAAGATAGTATGGTAGAATTAGTTTATTGCTACAGTATTAAACTATCAATAAGCAATTGAATAAAGCAAGTATTTAAAGATCAAGACTCTCTTAATTCAAGCTCTGCCCCTATTATTACATGGACAATTTTCTTGATCTGCTTCTGTATTTCTGTGTTCAGTTCCCAGTATTCTCTACTGAGTCATGCTTTTCCTGGTAATATTGCTTTCCAATGCTAACCAGATCTGATCTGATATTGATTAGCTTTCAGTGAAGTCAGTAGACAAATTACTGTGGTGCTGGGTAAATATATGACAATTCCTCCATCTAGTGGAATAATGTAGCATAATATGGATGGGCCATAGGTGCAGCTGGGTTAATCCTTGCAGTTCTAAGCAGAAAAACTTACTGAAAGTTTTTGAAACAAAATGGAGAGGAACTAAATGTATGCTGGAGATTATAAAATAAATTGTCATGAATAATGTACTATTTTCAAAGACAGAACAAAGGTAATATGACCAAACTTCCACATTTGTTTTTTTAAAAAGAGACAAAATACCCACTTTCTTGTGGAATGATCTCAAAGTAGCCATGAAATTCCTTCATTTGCCTCACTTGTGTTGACTTCAGCATAACTAACATCATATTATTTGTAGAAACAAAAGATATCAATGAATTGGAAGGTTCACATATTCTGAAATAAAACAATTCGTTATAAATGTATAGATGTTATACAAATTACTAGATATCTTTCGTGCCTACCCTAGAATTCTCCCTCCTGCTTAGTTGGTTAATCAATTGGTTAACTAATTGTGCTAATTGATAAAAATACATTTTTATAAAAACAAATATAAAATCCTTATAGTTCTGAACAACATATGTTTAAAAAAATACAGATTATATAATAGATATGCTTGACTTGACAGTGGCCTAAGAGCTTCTAAATCACTCTCTCACCCAAGTCACATCACAGTTTGTTGTTATGGGCAAGTAGGGAAAGGAAGTATGTGCCCTGCCTTGAGTTACTTATAAAGTAATAAAGGCAGGGTAAAAATCTAATAAATATATTAAATAAATAAACGCACCCATATAACAAGAACATAATACATAAAGCATAATACTAATTAAAGAATTCATATTGGGATCTTGCTGATTGCCAACTTTATAAAATAAATGCTTCAAAATAGTATATAAATATATGGTTTATATTGTTTGATGTGTTTAATGTGTTATATAAACTTAGCTATTTTACCATGGCTTACATATGATGTGATGTATGAACCTAGATAAGTAAAGCTTGCAGTTCATTTAAATAATATATGTTTAATTATAAATATATACTGTATATATATATGAAAGTGAAGAAATTGTGAGATTTTGTTTAAAATCTTTAAAAAAAATTTAAAAATCCTTACTAGAAAAGCTTACTTACCGATATAATATCTTACTCTTTATTGGCATTAGGGAGTCATAAATGGTCAATGAATCACTAATACAGTTGTCTGCTTCAATCCGAATGGAAGCTATAGAAAGGCGAATTAAGTAGCCAACCAATGCAATCAGTTTAAAATAACAGATCATCCTTCCTGATGTTTCCAAAAAGTCCAATGGAAAATGTTGATGCAAACGATCTGCATGCAGGTCATAGATGCAGTTTGCACCTGCAGAAATAGTGCAAGTTCATTTTATTTACCAATTGCTTCACTACAAATACTATGCAGGACTCACATTTTACATAGAATTTCTTATGTCACTGATAAAAATGACAACGTAACTACTTGCATTAACAATTTCATTTATTTATAAAAGTTTGGCTGATCACAAGATCAGATTAATTGGAATTTTTTTTTTGATGTTTGCAATTTTGATTTTGAGAAGAGGGCGAGGGGAGGGGAGGAGACGAGATGGGAGGAGAGAAAAGGAGAAAAAGGAAAGGAAAGGAAAAGAAAGGAATACACATAATTAGAATATACTCATATGGATACATAGCCAAAATCATCAAGATGGCAGAAAAAAAGTGTTCTGCGGTCACATGTTCTCTATTTGCAACCTTTACATCCAGCTTTCAATAAGCAAAGTCAATGGAGGAAGCAGGATTCACTTAATAAATACATGATTTATTTAATAACTGAATCACTTAATAACTGTCTTGCTTAGCAATGAAATTTTGTTCCCATAAATCAAGGACTACCTGTATTTTAATCTAGTTGTCATGCATATCCTGCCTCAGTATAAAAGGAAACCAAGACACTGGCTTTCGCAGTTGTGCTCCAAGAGCGTGAATGATTTATACAGATTAATGTTGATCGTCAGTTACTACTTCTTTTAAGATTATTTTTTTTAATCTTGGTTTCTAAATGTGGTGTAAGCCACTTAGATATGTTTTGATTTGGGAAGCCTTATAAATTAAGTAAATAAATAAACAAACTGTACCCTGGCCCTCATGCAGTCTTATGAGTTCCATGTAGATTAAATAGCAGGAATGGTGTCTATGGAGATTCTCGGTCACCCAGGTTATGGTTGTTCCAAAGATGCTTTTTCAAGAGGCAACTGGACTTTCTTGTTTTTCTCTGAAGACATTTTGCATCTCATCCAAGAAGCTTCTTCAGCTGGTGGGAATGGAAGGATTTATATTCCTTACAGACAGCTGGTCATTTGCATTAGAGAGTCGTTGGGGCCACTTGGAGATTTGTTTGTGTCCTCAGGGTCATCTGAGTAGTGCAAAGAGAGCCTCAAGGACTCTCTAAAAGAATGCAAATGACCGACGGTCTCCAAGGAGTATAAATCCTTCCATTCCCCATCTTCAGTCAGAGCTGAATAAGCTTCTTGGATGAGAAGTGAAGCATCTTCAAATAAAAACAAAAAAAAGTCCAGTTGCCTCTTGAAAAAGCACCTTTGGGAACAGGAATGATGGAAACAGAGGCATTCTGAATAATTGAACACCTCTAATATACTGTGGAAAACTGATATCGGCTCAGACTGCATATGCTGCTGTTTCTGCTGATTCTGTCCTTATACTGTGGTATGGTTTAACACAAAAAATAAATTATATTAATAAAATCAAACCTAGAACAGAAACATCTTTTTTTTAAAAAAAAAATTCTTACTCTTGGAAATGGAAACATTTCCTACTTCCCATTTAATCTCTAGCATCTTTATAAGGAGTATGCTTTGTAAAGTACTTTGAATAATCAAAAGCATTACAGAAATATCAATAAAGAAGCCATAAGTAAGTAAATCACTGCAATTATAATTGTTCCACCATACTGTATACAGTTCCCAGTTAAAATGAGGTTAAGAATAATAGTTATGAGAGGGTGAATGTGGTCCTGGGAGGCTGCTGAGCATCTTGGAATATGAGGTTTTTATGTTTTTTATTTTTTTATTAATGTATGCCATAATTGTATCTATTTGTTTATTTAAAAAATTAATAAAAATTTGATTAAAAAAAAGAATGATAGTTATGATAGGAAAACTCAGTAATATACCTGTTCCTGTTGTTGAAGAGTAATCCGATCGAAGCCCAACTACATTAAAAAAAACACTAATAAATATGCTTATCTTTAAGTAAAGTTTGCAATAAATGGTCAGTAGACAATATATACTATATATAATGTTATAGATTTGGAACCTTAGAAACCAAGAAAATGTATATTGTACTGTTATATAAGAATTTTTGATGCCATTTGAACTCAGTAAAGAGAAGCCCATAAATTCTGTGTTTGGCTCCACTATCAAATTTATATTAGCATTAGGATTATTTTTTCCAGATTAATTTGGAATTTGATTTTCAGTTTTTTTATACTCACTAAAATCATATCCTGCATTTTGTACTAAAGGAGATCAGGTCTTGGCTTCATTTTCTGTGATAGTTTCTAAGAATGCTTTCATAGCAGTATTTCATGCCCAATTCCTTTCATTTCTCTTTGTAGGACTTAGTTTCTAAGGCGTATCTAACATATTTAAAACCAAAAGCATAATACTTTAATAGTCTGGGACTGGAGACTAAAATATATGAAGAATGGTTGCAGGAACTGGATATATCTAGTTTAATGAAAAGAAGGACTACAGCAGACATGTCAAAGTTGCGATGTCACGTGATGTCGTGCAACGTATCAGGATAGTTTTGCCATTGCCGGCAATGAGATGGGCACGGCTTCTGCATGATGCGTCCGGCCCGTGGGCCGGCAGTTTGACACCCCTGGACTAGAGGGTGACATAATAGCAGTGTTCCAATACTGAAGGGGCTGCCAAAGCACCCAAAGGCAGGACAAGAAGCAATGGATGGAAAACAATCAAAGAGGGAACCAATCTAAAACTAGGAAAAAATTTCCCAATAGTTAGAACAATTAATCAGTAGAACAACCTGCCTCTAGAAGTTGTGGATGCTCCAACACTGGAGATTTTAAAGAAGAGATTAGACAACCATTTCTCTGAAATAGTATAGGGTTTCCTGCCTATACCATTGGGATTGGAGTTGAACTAGAAGACCTCCAAGGTCTTTTCCAACTCTATTATTCTGTGTGCCACATATGCCAGTAACTATCAAAGAACTAATTGGCATACAGAGAGGAGCAACTCAACTGCCAATAGCTTCTTTGTCATATTTGGCAGCACCTCCACTCCCATGGTCTTCAACCGTGGCTAGACTATCCCACCATCACCCTTGATATTCCATTGTATTGGTGCATTCTAAAATGTCTTTGCCTTTAGGTTGTCTTCCTAAAAAGTGAACCACTTTCCATTTGTCTCTGTTAAATTCTATTTATTTTTAGGCCATTTCTATAGGCAATCATGATTATTTCCATGTTATATGGTACTATCTGTGCCTAATTGTATTAAATAACCTGGTTTTGCTAACTATTCTGCTACAGCTTACTATTAAAATTATTAAAGAGCACAGGGCCCAGACCCAATATTGTGATATTTCTCCACTGGCCCATTGAGTTAAGATTTCCAGTTAACTAGTTCGATAATCAGAATGTCACAGTACCTTTTAAAATGTTTTCTTGAAATCAAGATATACCGGTAGTACATACAGTATACACCATTCCCAAAATCAACTAAGAAAGTTATCCACTGATGTATTGTTGACAAAGAATGCTCATTTATGATAGTTACTACACTGTTTTCAATTTGCTTAGAAATTGATCTCTTTAATATCTATTTCAAATTTTTTCTAAGTACTGATTTCAAAGAGATCTGTAATTAATTATTTGTATTTCTGTTCTGAAATAGTAATATTTGTCTTTCTTTTTCTCATTTATAAGTTTTAAGATAACAGTTGGAAAATATGTCTTAGTAATATTTAAAATTCCCAGGAAACATGAAAAATGCATATATTGCTTTGGAAAGTTGTTGGATATAGAGAATATATATTGTAGTAAGGGCTTTTCTTGCATAAGAAAATTATTCATTTATCATTTCTGTAAAAAGAGCCGTTCTTTCCATCAGAACAGAAGTGGGCAATGCATACAAAACCAGCTCCATGTCTGCAACCTTCAAAAGCTTTCAGGATTTGGCAGCTAATATTTGGCAGCAAATTTTTCAGCGTTACTGTATTTTTGAAACAAAACTGAGCCTTTAGTTACGCATGTTTAAGTATCTGTTAAGGAGATTTAACAGATCTATGTTGAGTAACAGCCATAAACATTCATAATCATGTTTAAGTTAAGAAACAGGCTGAAATTTTTATTCCCATGAATTTATGATTTCCATGCATATTTGTGTTCCCATAAATCCCTGAATAAAAATGTTGTGCACTCAGAAAAAGAAAACCTTCAAATAAAATGAATAGTACATACGAATTCTTGATTTAGAAATACCAACCACTAAGCACAATGGAATCCATATCCACTGCAAGGCCTTGAAGACTTCCTACTGAGGTTCGATTGGTGATGCTTGTGTGAATTGAATTTCTTAAAATAGCTGCAACACAGTCTGCACAAAATATTTGGCCCTTTGCCTGTTGTACCACAAACACAATCCAGAAATGGACAAGGAGTCCCCCATTGTTGTTATTGCTGAAATCAGTACAAAACAAATTGTATTTATTTAATTGATTTATATGGTTGTTTGTATAGTTCTATTTTCAAGGGCTTGGGGCAATTTCCAAATAAAGAAAATAAAGAATAATTCTAATTTATTAACTAAGTGAACAAAGATTATCCACCAAGGCAGCCCAGGTCGACCTTCTGGATTGAATGATCCTCAGTACAATACAGTTTTAAAAACTTTGTAAATGTGGAGCAAAATGAGGCCCAACAAACCTCAAGCGGCAAAGTATTCTATGCTGCGTGAGCTGCCATTGATAAGTATAACTTTGAGGCCGCTCTCTTGTGTCACAGAAATTGGGAATCCTCTATTTTCAGGATGCATGCATATACTGGGCTAAATCTGGACAGGAGAAATGTCCCACTATGTATTTGAACGCCATGCTATTTAGGACTTTATATGTGATATCCACTCAGAAGCTTGTTGGCTTACATAACAAACTGATAAGCTTGAAAATTTAAACTCCTATCATTATTCAAAGTAAACGCTAATAGATTTTGAAATATACAATGTATTAACATGAAATGGAAATGTTGCTTATACTGGCATTCAGTCATTTATAATGTTGTGCTTAACTTAAAAACTTAATTGACTTGCACCAAGATAAGAAGATATTTATCATTAAATGATAAAAACGAACTATAAATTGTGTCCCACCTGACATCAGAGACAATGGATTGCTTGTAAAATTTTGAGAAAGCAGATTTGGTATACACCAGATTCATCTGAAAGAGAAAATTTACAGACTTGTTTGACTATCCTGCATAAAGTCAATTTAATTTTATTGAAAACAGTCTATATTGTGGATTCTTAACAAGAATTAGTGATTATTTCTGAGAATGATGAAATATTTTTATAACAACATATTCATTTATGAAAGTAAATAGCATCACTTATCACAGCTTTTGTTTGCCTGGTTGTAAAAGTTCCCACCCTCCTCTGCCAATTTTTAATTGGATGTGACTTAAATCTACATTTGGAAAGCCAAATGAGGTTGTACCAGCTTGAAATAAAATTAAAATTCATGATTTAATGGAAACGAAGTGAGAATCCATTACTAATTAAATTTTAGCCCAAGAATAGTTTCCTCAGACAGATAGCATCGTCAGCAGTTGCAATTTTCTACAACTCAGAGTTTCCAAAAATACTCAGAATACTCTACAATAAAAAAACTACTTCAGAAAAAAGCATGACAATAAGATAACCCAAGAATAAAGTTACAATAAAGATGTTTTTCATTATTTTCCACTAGTTAAAAATGGAAGCATATCAAGAGTTATTCAGAGAGAGATGTACATGTTTTACAACTACAGTATGTATTTCTTCTTCCATGCCCATTTTTTCTTTTTAAAAAAAAAACACCTGTGTGTGCCCACTTCCCTGGTCTAGTTCACAGGAGTTCAGCAAACTCTTTAATTCTAAAGTACTATCCAGAAATTAAATATTTTAATGAGCAATAATAATTACAATTATTGCTGCGTTAGTGAATCTTTCAATTGTCCTTCAAAGCCAGTGGTGGGATTCAACCAGTTTGCACCACTTCGGCAGAACCAGTAGCTAATTTTTTGTTGCCCAGGCCCAGAACGGACTTCCGGAAGCAGCATCCAAACAGAGAACTGGTTGTTCACATATCTGAATCCCACCATTGTTCAAAGCCATACTCTATGGCCTACACTTACCCAATGGTTTTATGTAGATGTTAAATAGGGGTAGGGAAAGTACTCTGAAATACCAATATGGAGTCTATAACTTCACCCTCCTGATGCCAACTGGAACTATTTTCAAAGGAAGTAGGAGAACTTCTTACAACCATGCCTCCCTTCCATTCCCAACCCCCTATGCTGGTTTAGAATTATAGAATGATTAATCATATCAAAAGAAATCCAAGGTAGGTATATTACAAATATCCTAATACCATAAAAGATCATTGACAAGTGCAACTGATATTTTCTCAACCTGGTCTAGTACATAATGAAAAGGGATCCAAACAATCTGCTTCGTCTAGGGGTCCTCTAGAGCTGTAACTTTACCAGTTTTGCAGTAACGTTTCCACAAAGGCGAAATTTGGAGACTGGATGGAAATTATCCAACTCTGTTGGATTCAGCAGTAGCTTCTTGAGGATAGGGAAGATCACTTTCTTCAAAAGTGAGAAAACAATCCCCTCCCTCAAGTAAGCACTTACCACCACATTTATCCAACCATATGATGTCTCTGAGGAGTCTTGATTAACCAGAAGGGACATGGATCTAAAATATAAATTACAGAACTCAAAGCCCACGGTCTTCATTAACTCCAGTAACCTCAAATTCTTCCCAGATAACAAGGCACAGCTATATCTCAGTCAATTCCATGGCACTTACACAGCCAAAGTTCAAATCTGAGTGAATATTTTTTTTAAAAAAGTATCCAACAGATGCTTTGAATAGTCCTCAATGAAACTCCTGTAACAATTTCCCTGGCTCTTTCTTTCCCAGGAGAAAAGCAAAGTCTTACATTTAGGCAGGAAAAACCAAAGGTAAAAATACAGATTGGGCGAGACTTGGTTTAAAAACAGTAACTGTGAAAGGGACCTTGGAGTCCTAGTGGACGATCACTTGACTGTGAGCCAGCAGTGTGCAGCAGCAATCAAAAAAGCTAATACAATCCTGGATTGTATAAACAGAGGCATAGAATCAAGATCACACGAAGTATTAGTACCGCTTTATAAAACCCTAATAAGACCACACCTGGAATACTGCAGCCAATTTTGGTCACCATATCATAAAAAAGATGTTGAGTGTTTGGGAAAAATTCAGAGAAGAGCAACAAAGATGATCAAAGGCCTGCAGACTAAAACATACCAAGAACAGCTATGGGACTTGGGTTTGGCTAGTCTAAAGAAAAGAAGAAATAGGGGTGACATGATAGCAGTGTTCCAGTATCTGAGGGGCTGCCACAAGGCAGAGGGGGGCAGGTTGTTCACCAAAGCACCAGAGGGAAGGACGAGAAACAATGGCTGGAAACTGCTTAAAGAGAGAAGCAATCTGGAATTAAGGAGAAACTTCCTGACAGTGAGGACAATTAACCAGTGGAACAGCTTGCCTCCAGAAATCGTGGGTGCTCCATCACTGGAGATTTTTAAGATGAGACTAGACATTCACTTGTCTGAGATGGTATAGGTTCTCCTATTTGAGCAAGGGGCTGGACTAGAACAGGGCTTTTCAACCGGTGGTATGCATACCACCTGTGGTACTTTGGCACGTGGCAGGTGGTACACAACCATCCTAGAGAAGTGTAGCAGGGGAGGGGAATGAGCTGAAGTGACCCAAGCCTGAGGGAGAGGCAGCTGGAGCTGCAGGACTGTCAGGGCTTGGCAGAAGCCCCAGGAGCACCGGCAGGGCTCCAGCTGATTGGCGCTTCCAGAAGCAGCACGGAGCTGGAAGTGAACTGAAGAAAAAGGTAGGGAGAAGAGGAGAGGATATAAAAGGAGATGGTTTTGCTGGGAAATGGGAAAAAAGACAACAGGGAAAGAGAAGAGGACGTAGAAGAAGCTGTGGAAGGAGAGCTTGGCAGGCAGGGAAGAAAAAGAGACAGGGAAGAAGAAGCAGCTTTTGCTGGAAGAAAAAGTCCCCTGGTTCATTTTCTTCAGCCAGGAGAATGCACTCAGCACTGATGAAATGAAAAGCCAGCAGATGAGCATGTTGGAAAGGAGGTGGGTTTATTTCAGAAGCCAGTGGGTTCCTGGTCAACTGGCAGCTTGAAAGGATTACCATAAGGATTTTTATACAGTTTTTTTTACAGCATTTTGTAATTCAGAGGCTTGGTTTGTGTGTTTTGCTTATTGGAATATTTTAGTCTGTTTCACAAAGGCTAGAAATGAGTCCAAAGTGTTGGCTTCGTAGGTTTAATCTCTTTAAACAAATGTAATTAGTTTTACCCCCTTATCTTGAGTCTGTCTATGGCTTTTAACAAGTTTTCTTTGTAGGTAAACAGGCTTAATTTAAGGTTATCGCCTTTTGCAACTGCCAGACCTGTTTGCTACATTGTTTAAACTGAGATGCCTGAGGCAGCTTAAAAAAAAAACATAGGCAGTGTTTTTTTATTCTAGGAGGCTTTTGTAAGCCTTTCTTGCCTTGCGCTTGATTCCTGTGTCTTTAAGGGTACAGGGAAGGAACTGGGGGGTGCATTCTTACTACACTATGGAAGGAGAACTCAGAAGGCAGGGAGGAAGAAGAGGAGAGGGAGAGAGGAAGAAGGGCCCACCAGCTAGCTCAGGGGTCTACAAACTTAGCAACTTTAAGACCTGTGGATTTCAGCTCCCAGAATTCCTCAACCAGCCATGATGGCTGAGGAATTCTTGGAGTTGAAGTCCACAAGTCTTAAAAGTGCCATGTTTGAAGACCCCTGAGCTAGCTGGTAGTGGTGCATATTAATAAACATGGATAAATTCATCATAAACTTATCAGTGCAAAGGGAAAGTGATTCAGCAAAGGAACAGCCACCAAAGAAATTAAAACTGGTACTTTTTAACTTTTTTCTACAGTTTGTAACATTTTATTAGATTATAGAATAAAATATAAAAATACAAAAGCAAATAGTTTGATACAGTGAGGAGAAAAAGGGACGGGGAGAAGGGAGAAAGAACAGACTTTTACTGTTGCAGTAGAAGGAAGCATTAACATTGAACCTCAACTTTTCACTTTTCCATAATATTATAAACTAGCCATTTCTATAACAACAAATGAATCTAATCCGTAAAACCCAAAATCCCCCCCTTTTTTTAGTCATCAAGTTTTTTGACACCTTGCTAAGCACTGGTGGTACTCAAATATTGTCATGTCCTAAAAGTGGTACAATCTGTGAAAAGGTTGGAAAGCCCTGGACTAGAAGACCTCCAAGGTCCCTTCCAGCTCTATTCTATTCTATTCTATTCTATTCTATTCTATTCTATTCTATTCTATTCTATTCTATTCTATCCCAGGAGAAAAGTCACTTAACTAGAGCCATAAGAAATTTATCTGTGAAGGAAAAAATGCTTAGGTTTTGTTACTCTTATTGACACAAGATAATCCTTAATAGTAAAGGGTTCTTACCTGTATTTAGTTGGATTTTCTCTTTGTTTTCCTCCGATGGTACTCTAGTGCCATTTCATCACTCAAACTTCCTTTGAAAACTAGCCCCCCTCCAGGATCAGTGCACATAGGCTGCAGAGTCTGCACAGGTACAATCCAATCCAAGGCTACTATGCCCTCTCATTCCAAGCAGCAACTAAGGCCTCAGTTAAACTGTACTACAACCCAACAAGGGCTATCAAGTGCCTGAGATGGAATGATCAAATAGATCCTTCTTTTGAATGGAGAGGGTAGCCACAGATAACTCCAGTGCTAAGAGGGAGTGATTTGACCATGAAAAAGAGTTGATGGTAATCACTCCTCAACTCCACATCATGTTATCCCTGTCCCCAAACAAAAAGCAGATCTGGACTGTGATTTCCACTGTAAATTAGGCCTTCAACAATCTGGATGAGATCTATGTCTGCCATGATGGACATGAACTCCCAAATTACATCGGGAAACACCCAAAATGGGGCAATTAAGTAATATGATACTAAGTAGATTATAAAAAATCCAGGGCCTGCCCATGAGAAAATAATACCAGGCAATGAGCACATGTCCCAATGTAGGTTTCCTATTGAGAAATACTTTCATACAATGATATTTTCTTTTTTTCGTAAATCTGACTTATGTACACACATTCACAGATATGAGAACATCTGGAGTGATGGATATTAGCCATGGCTTTCAGGTGCATATTTAATATAGGATCAACAGGGGCAGGTTAAAAAATAGAAAAGGAGGCTACATTGAAAACAAATAAATGATATATTTATTTTAGGAATAGGACAGATAGTGCCATGGGATCTACTCAAGAATGTATTCATCATATATATAATCCTTTCACTATTGAAGATCAGGAGACCTTTCTTATTTTTCTTTGTGCTATTTCCAAATTCTCTTGACTGGGAAAAACTGATAAATGGCAGCAGCTATTGTCCTGTCAACAAAATTATTCATTTGAAACCGGCTTCTCCCATCTTTGGGGGAAAAAAAACCTAATTTATATTATAACCCCCAGCAAAGCAATCTGAGAAAGGGGTATTGTAGCCTGGGCCTTTACGCATTGTCTCATTGAAACATACAAAACTAATGAATGCATGTATCCAGTTAATTATTTTGTCAAATGTACTGATAAAAATGGTATGGCATTGTGTATGGGTTTCCTTACCACTTGTTGCACATTCTGTGCTACTGAAAGGAACTCCCTAGATTCTTTCTGCCGATATTCTGGAAGAAATTCAATGTTGGCAACACGAAACAGTCCAACAAAATACAAAGCATCTTTGTTTTCTGCCTCAACTGTAAAACAGAATGGGCAAATATGAGTATATGCTATTTTTCTTTTGCTTTCCATATGGAAATAAAAAGTTGACAGCAAAAGATCTCAATGAACTGGAAAAGCACTAAGTCCATCATGACCTTCTTAATAACATTCAAAACAAAAAGCACCTCACCTGCAAAGAGAACCCAGCTTTATAATTTCTCTGGAAAGCATCCCTCTTGTAAACTATACTTTGTGGCTTGCTGCTTGTCTAAAGCAGAACAAGGAAAAGCCTTATTTTATTCCCCTTGTAAGGAAGTTCCCTGACTTCTGTACCCACTGCCTTAGCCTTTTAGTTACCATTGTAAAAAAGTAAAGTCTACTTTGAATTCAGCTTGTTTTCTCCTGCATGGAAACATCATTATAATTTTCATAGAAAGAGTTCAAAATTGGTTTGCCAGGATAATTTTTCTATACTCCAATATAGCCTATAGATCTGATCTGCCATTAAGGAGACCATTAAGGAGACCCCTTTACCTATAAATGCTTTCTTCAAGCATTTCAGCACTCATCAAGGATTTGTTAGTATGATTAAAAAGTCTTTGGAATACAAAGTTTAGATGAGCGATGTAGGGAAGAACTCACCAATAAAAAGCCACAACAATGTCCAACTTATTACACCGATAATGAAGAGAACTACTGTAAACAAGATTATTTTATTTTGAAAATTCCAGGCAGACTTGTCCCTTTTAGCTTTCCTTTTGGATTTTGATGTCTTGTTAAGTTTTTTTGTGAGTCTTTCCCACTTTTCTTCAGAATCTGATCTTTGAACTGATATATTTGATACCTTAAAATGGAAAACAAAAGGGTTTCAATAAGGCTATTTTTCATTTCAAAGTTGCCTTTTCTCTTGAAGATAAGCATGTCTAGGACTTTCATTAGAAAGACAGAGATGAGAACTTTGGGGTTTTCAGTTGAATTGCATGTCCATTTGCCAAACATCATGTTCAAGTTGAAGGCCTGAAGAATTCAAGAACATTAGAAGGTAACAAACTTCCACTTCTCTTTTAAGTCTATTAAATAAAGGTATGATTTCCTTGTTCCTTTCCATTAAATGAAGATATTGTTTTATCAACACATCCCATAATACAAGTATTTTTAGATGCAACTAACAAGGAAGGTAGAATTGGCGTATGTAACCAGATTTACAGCAAAATATATAGCTTTGTAATAAAGCATTGAAATTGAAATGATTTAGTATCTTTTTTCTTAAGATTTGAAATCATGATGGGGAGAGGGTGATCTCTCTTTCCTGGGAAAGAATAACAATACCAATAAGCCTGACAAGAAGGTGGAAAGTCAGATTTCATGTGATTCATCTCTTCAAATAATAATAATCATATGTGACCTGGGCACCATGTTCCAAGAACAATACAATTGCCAGAGATAGCATTCCATATTGGGATGGAGGTGGAACTGCTGTTTACTTTTTTAATAATGCTCATGCAATTAATATAACATCTGGTGTGTTCTTTTTGCTGTATTTTTTGTTGACCAGATAATTAATTGTCAGTCCTAAAAAGGTATGACAACAAAAGTTATTAATACCATTTAACTAATTAGCGTTTTACTAATGTTCATTTTAGAAGAATCTGATAATTGTATTGTACCACGTTATTTGATATAGATAGCTATTTATATCAGTCTGGAATTTCACTTATTTCTGATCAAACCTTTCTTTTTTAAAGTTCGTTAGACTTGAGCATAATGTATAAAATACTTTGCTTTATTTCTGTCTGTACTATGAGCAAAACCATACATTTTCTGACTCATATTTCAACAAACAATGACATCTATAGTTACCGTTGGGTTTAATATTCCATATAAGTTTCTAATATGCATGAGAACAATATGTTTTTTCTTACATTAGTTATAGTTAAGCATTATAAAATTCATCCCCCATTAGTGAAGTAATTTAGGTATTGCTGCAGAATTAATTATTTAAATTGTTCTTTCCCTTTTTACCACATGCTAGTTCTTCAGGGTAACAGTTACTATGCCAACTAGTTGAAAGCTGACTATATTTAGATACACTGCTTGGGGTTTTTTCTTTTTCTTTTTTCCCTACATAGGGAAGGAATTAATTATTTTAAAAAATATGTTCAATCTCTCCATACATTTCTGATTTTTTAAACAATTACTCCATAATACTGTGTCCCAACATTCTGGGAATACAAAGACATGTCATATTTCACTTGAAAACATTGTTTACAGTTAAAGACAGTAATTCATTGCATTAAAATGGCTATATAATCTAATAAAGGTCTTCCGTAATTTAGAATATGACAAACAAATATAACCCAGTCTTAACATTACAGTGCACTTTATGTTTGCTTACTTACACTTAATTCATCTTCAGGGTTAATAGATCTGTCACTTCTTTGATCATCCATTAAAAGATATAAAATTGACAGTTACAGAAAATTTACTCAAAACACTACAGGAAAAGTTGATAGAAACTGTACTTGAAGAAAAGTCTGTTAACAGTGTCCATGTGGATTCACAAGCAAGGCATCAATTTACATTCAAGAATTTCCATTGGTAATTTCATCCACCTCTATCCTTCTGTTGCAGTGAACATTCAGAAAAGCATTGTCAAGCAGCACTGGCCTCCAAATTAGGTAGCCTAGCTTTACTTTTCTAAATGACTGTTTTAATTATTTACATATTTTTAAAAATCTGTTCATATGATCACTAGGAGTTGACAACAACTTGATGGCATTTAACTAATCAATCCATATTTTAAAAGAAATAGGAAAGAACAGTAATAACCAGGAGTAAACATGAAAAATCTACATACCACATTTTCCCGAAAATAAGACCTACCCTGAAAATAAGACCTAGCTTGATTTTTGGGGGTGGGCCTAATATAAGTCCTACCCCAAAAATAAGTCCTAGTTTTGGGACGAGCCTACAAATAAAGCTAGGTTGGGGATGGGGGTGGAGCTGCCCCATGCACTCCGCACCCACTTACCATTGCAGCCAGGCCTCCCATGCTCCAACACCTGCCTCATCTTGCTGGCCCACTTCTGCAGCCACTCGCTGCCGCTTGCACAAGGTCTTATTTTCGGGGGATGTCTTTTCCCATCTCACCTTGCAGCGGTGGCACCAACAGCCCCACCCAGCTGGTCCACTTCTTCTGCAGTTGCTCACTGCCACTCGCGCTCGTCAGCCCGGCCTCCATTTTGCCATCAGAGGTCTTCAGGAAATACCCCTGCAGCTGAGAACAGAACTCCGGATTGATGCACACGGTGCCCCCCAGTGAAATGGAGGCCAGGGGTTATCATATGGTCCTCATCCACTTCTGAAGGAATGTGGTTCTGATGAAAAAAGCTTGGTGATTTCTGCAGTGTGCAGCAGATACCCTAGCTGAGGTAACCTATAGAAATCATGAAACTCTAAATGAGATGAAGGATAAATATAATATAAACATATTTCCATGATAGTCACAGTTCTAATTCTGCAAATATAGTGATGATTTTAGATATGTTCTTCTAAAGGATATATAATGGCTATGTATATTGTTCTAATTATTCAAAAAATTAAAAGCCAGCTGCTTATTCTACTAACTATTCTGTTAAGCTGCTTGCTCCATAAATCTAAATTTGATAGCTTTTCTTGAGGGACATTTCTCAACTTTCAGATATATCCTTCACTCATGGATGTCTAATGCATATTACATCTTTCAACAGATTAAAACAAATAAATTATAGTTGAAATGATTTGATTATATGTATTTTAAAAATATGATAGCTAAGAATTAAAGACTTCAAAATAATCCTAAAGATCCACACTCAATGTATACCATAACCATCATTTAGTATTTCTTTACTAAAACTGTAATGAATATAGAAAGGGGAGCCCAATATGTATTGTGACCAATAATCCTTTTTTTTCACTCTGGTAATTTATGAACCATGGAAATAGAGCAATTCCTTTTAGCTAAAAGGTTATTTAATTAGCTCTTGGTCCAAATGATCAGCTAAAAACCCTCACTGATTTTCTTTCTACAGATTAGCAATCTCTTCAGTGGCTAGCAAGCATGACACAGCTTAAGGGTAGATTTAAATACTTCTCTTACAGCATCACTGCACTGCATCTATCATTCCTCAGGGAAGCAGCTATTTATAGCATCTGTCCAGAGATGAAACAGTATGGTTTTGTTATACAGAATCATAAAGCTTGAAGGGCCATGTAGCTGATTCAATTTGCTGCTCTGTCAAAATTAAAGCATCCACAACAGATGGATGTCCAGCCTCTATTTGAACATTGAGGGAAGATTTGCTCACTTGTTCTTTGAAAATTGGTTGAACTTCAAACTGCTCTTATCATTAAGTCTTTTTTCCTAGAATTCAAATAGAATTCACTATATTGTAACTGCCGGCTAAGTTTCCCCAAACACATCCAAAACCCATCAGTAGTGAAACTGAAACTCACTAGAAATTTTTTTTATCTAGCCTACTTTTTCTTTTCCCTAATATATTTACTGTAGGCTGAGGTAGGACCAAGGGCTTCCTTGGGCCTCAGATATGAAGGCTTGATCAGGTTTCAGACGATCCAGTGCAGAGCTGTAAAAAAAACCTGATTCAAGTGAATGTCATGAGGCCTGTTAGGTCCAGATTGAATCTGGAGTGTGTGTGATTTCCAGTGGCCTGATGACACTTTTTGACCTTATTTCATTAGTTACAGTTTCATCAAATATTTTAAAATATATGAGGGCCCAAACTGAATGAAATTAAATGAATTGTAATGTGAAAACTGAAAAAGAGGAAGAGTAATCGCACAGGACTTTGAAATAGGGTGCAAAGCTATGTGACACCACTGCATTGAATATGCTAGTTCCCCCACATTCTGCTTGGGCTGGGGTGTCAAACTGCCGGCCCGCGGGTCAGTTGCATCATATGGAGGCCGCGCCCACCCCAGCTCCGGCAATGCAAAAAAAGTCACGATACATTGCGAGACGTCACGTGATGTAGTGAGTTTGACACCTGTGTACTAGGGCAGGGCTTTTCAACCAGTGGTACGGGTACCACCTGTGGTACATTGGCACCTGGCAGGTGGTACGCGACCATCCTAGAAAAGTGGTAGCGGGGGAGGGGAATGAGCTGAACCAGTGACAGCATTGCACAAGCCTGAGCAAGAGATGGCTGGAGCTGCAGGGCTGTCAGGGCTCAGCAGAAGCACCAGGATCAGCACCAGGCTCCAGCTGGAGCTCGGCGCTGATCCTGGCGCTTCTGCTGAGCCCAGAAGAAGCGCCAATCAGCTGGAATGTTGCAGCATCTCCAGGGTCTTGTGATTTATATTCAGATGCTTGGCAACTGATTCATATTTATGACGGTCACAGTGTCCCAGGGTCATGTGAGGTGACCAAAACCTGCTGCAACCACCCAGTAGATGGGGGGAATAAAAACTAAACAACCCCCACCCCACCCCCGCTGCCAATCCTCAACAGAAATGCTCACAACAATGAAAACCTCGGACAGGAAAAAGAGCATGGCCGGGTGGGCAGGCAGATGTCTTGCTCGGCTGTGGCTAGGGAGGCACTTTTTTCAGTGCCATTGTAACTTCGAACAGTCACTAAGCAAACTGTTGTAAGTCGAGGACTACCTGTACTTCATCACTTTTTTCCGTTGTTGTTTTTTGGTCATCAAGTTTTTGACACCTTGCTAGGCAACTGGTGGTACTCAGATATTGCCATATCCTAAAAGTGGTACAATGGGTGAAAAGGTTGAAAAGTCCTGTACTAGGGTGTTATGTCACACTTTGAATAAAATTTCAGAAATAGAGAGAAATATATGGAGATAAGTGGCAACCTCAAAAGGAGATAGAGAGAGAGAGATGGAGAAACAAGAAGAATGTCAGAAAGAATGATTGTAGGAATTATAACAATCAGGGAACCAACTCACTTTTCCTTTCTATCCCATTCCTACCACATACACATTATTCAGAGAAAATGCAATCTATGCTAGGACAAAATTGTGGATACTTAATTCAGATAGAGATACTATACTATACACCCATATAGCTTATAATTCTTATAATTTCCAGAAACTGGTTCTGAGTTATCTTGTTTTTCTTGTTTCATTCTTTGATTTCTACTTTGGTGACAGTATTCTGACTATAATTCTGAAGGCAGGAATAATCTCATTTGTTATTGAAGTACTCTACTTCTGTTATTGATCCATATCTCATCCCCACTGCACTTAAAATTCAATCAATAGAACTTCCTTCATATCTTTAGAATAGGCATTCACTTTTTCTGCCCAATTTTTTTAAAAATGTACCAAAGGCTGCTACTCTACAGTCACCATTCTTTCTGTTTCTGTTTAAACATTTCTGCTGATTTTGATGTTGTATAGCAGGAGTAAAATTTTCACATAAATAAATAATGAAGATATGTTAATGGCTGGGATTAGATATATTCATAGAAGTCAGTATTTATAGACGTCAGCCATAATAGTAGGGGGATCCTTTCGGTCCAGAGAAAACATTTCTTGTAACATCAAGTACTTAGAATACCAAGTAGCAAGGTATACTATAGACATAAACTACATTCATTGTGTTATTATTACTGTGGCTAATGTCATTTCCTGGAGTTCCTGGAATAAGCAACTATTTAAAACATATATTGGAGTGATCCAACACCCTTTCTTATTGCCTATACTTTTGAGGAGCCTTTTCATTTTTCATTATTTTAATTCTACAGAACAAAATCTATTTTCTACTCAAGACCCCTTGTATTTTTGGGGATTTTATTTGTTTTAATTTTCATCCTAATAGAAGTCTACTCAAATATATGTAGTTCTAAAAGAAACACTTGAGCTATGATCACTGAAATATGCATACTGCTCTCTTGTATGAAGTCAATGTCTTTCAGAATTAATATTAAGTCATTGCTGTATTGAATTGTTAAATCACTCTAATGTGTGATAGCTCAACTGTTTATTTTATTTTTAGATGTAAAAGCATAAATTACATTAACATTAGAATTGTGCAATCTTTTGCAATGGTTTTACTTTCCCCCTTCAAAGACAAAAAACCCCAGCCCTATGCTCTCTTGATTTGTTGCATTCCATATAAATTGAGCAATTTATAAGGGATTCTGTATAAATTGAGCATTTTTAAAGAATATTATCAATTTTTCCAATATGAAAAAAGTAAATATTCAAATCCATGAAGATGAGATTAATGGATTATTTGAAACTAAATTGCATTAAAAAGTCTTGTAACGTAATTCTGTCTCAACATAATTCTGTCTGAAAGCATTATGCTTATGTTTAGATATGCATTTTTCATAACAAACAGGTAGATCTTCTTTTCACAGAACACCTGGACAGCTTCTGCCATATGTCCAGCACAGGGGAAAGAATGACTATGAAAAGTATGTTTTTGA